CAACGTTACGACGCCACTTCGGTACTGTTTCAATAGTCGGACTCCAGTGGTCGTCCTCGGCTCATTGATACGCACTTCGCGAGCGAGACCGAACTCTCGGGTCGTGTTTTACTGCCGCCGGCGAACGACGACGGCGCTGCGCGCCGACTCCCGCGATCGCATCGCGATACCGCCCTGATACCATCGTTTAAGTAGTCGTGCGCAGTAGTTACGCCTGCTAGGAGTTGCCTCGTTGAGGAGCAACCGCTCACGAGTTGCCGTCGATGATGGTAGTCGCCGCGGTGAGAGAGAGAGAGAGAGAGAGAGAGAGAGAGAGAGAGAGAGATCGTCGCTCGCGAAACGACGTCTGCCGATCGCTTTATCGTCGCCGCGCGATCGCACGACGATAATCACAGGTCGCTGCGGAAAATAATTTCGGGGTTACGCGCGAGAGATCGATGGCTCGTCGTCTCGCGCCGCTCGAGGACGAGTTACAGTTCGTCGAAGTGTGGCGCGCGTGGCTTGCGCGAGGAATGCGTCGGCCTCGCGCGCCTCAACCTTTCCCACCTCTCTCCCTTTCTTTCTCTCTCTCTCTCTCTCTCTCTCTCTCTCTCTCTCTCTCTCTCTCACGCGTGCCAACGCGTCGATGGTGAAAACCGAGCGAGCGCGCACGCTAATCGCGAGACTTTCAGATAGCTCGCCGATATCTCGCGAGAGCGGAAACATTCGAAAGTTCCTCGTCGCCAACGTGGGATACCGTTTTCCGAGCGCTCTTCCTCGACTCGGATCCACATCGCGCGGGGGAACTCCGTTCCGCGCGGACCACCCGGTACATGACCGCTCTCTCTTTCTCCCTCTTTCCCTTTCGATTCGCGCGCGCCGTCCACCCCCGCGTCCCGACGCCGAATGGCGCGGCGCGGCTCCCTCGTGAATTTTTTTAATCCGCTTCGCCGGTCGCGCCGTGTCGCGCTGTTTTCTCCCCTCGGCATCGCGTTGCTGCGGCGGCGGCGGCGGCGGCAACGGCGGCGTTCGTTTAAAATGCAAACTCGCCCGCGGTCCGCGGGGGCTTTAAAACAGCCGCTGCGTCCGGATTTCGTTGCGTCGCGCCGCCACGCCGCGCCACGCCACAAACTTGGCCCCGCCAAGTCTCCTCGCGCGCGCCTCGCACGGATTTATGGCGACGCTGACGCGTTTCTATTCTGGACCGTCCGCTCTCGCGGACGGCGAGAGCGCGTCCCGTCGTCTCGTTCCTCGCCTCCTCCCGCCGCCCTCCCGTGCGCATCCGTTCTTCGCACCTCCTCTTCTCCGGGATCCCTCTTTACCCTCGATCGCACGCGCCGTTGGGACGACGGGGCTGATCGAAGAAATCGTCCCGCGATAACGTCGCCACGGTTCGTCGGTTTCTTAATCGCGAGCGTCTCCCGTGGGCTCACGTTACCGCGGGAGCATTTACTCCGCCGTCCCGTGCAATAACCCGTGTTCCGATTCGAATTTCTCATTTTGCTCGGTTCTTTTGCTCGCTTTTTCATACGATCTATTGGTTCGCTGGCGGGGGAGGGGGGGAAGGGAGAGAGCGTGCGTGCGGATGTGCACGCACGTAATTCTCGTCTCGGCGTCCGACGGGCGGTTTAGCGCAGAGCCGACCGGCGGGAATACTCTTTCTGGAAATGTTTTGCGACTGATGTTCGATATTTGCCGCCGATTTCGCGAATTCGCCGCGGAAACTCGCCGCCGTTCCGGTCGCCTCGTCTCTGTGCGCGAATGTGGAATAAATCAGAAGGTATCTGGTTTTCCTTTGGAAATTCTCTCTCGTCAGATCAAGGAGATTGTACTGTTTCCTCTCGTTCCGTTCTCTTCTCCTCTCCCTCTCTCTCTCTCTCTGTTCCGCTCTCTCTCTCTCTCTCTCTCTCTCTCTCTCTTGCCGAGGCGCGGTCTCGAACAATTCCAGACGGCGGATCAGCGCGTGCGCGCGCGCCGAGAACGTCCTTTTCCCACTCAACCGTTATCCGCACCGCCTCTGGGTAATTGCGCTTTTCCTCGCGAGCGCTTTATCGCAGCCGGCCGATTATCGCCTCGCACTATCCCGCATCTGGCCGTCCTATCGTATCGTATCGGGAGAAAAAAAGATTCGAGATCGAACGAGAGAGACTCGCGCGTGTCTGACGATGATCGAGCGCTCTCGAGAGGCTCGCGAACGCCGCGGGGCGGCCTCTCCTCGGCCTTCTTCTCGCTTTCGTCTCGAAAGGGTCGCTCGCGGAAGCGAGAGAGGAGAGAGCGTGGCGGCAGGGGGGGGGAGGAGCTCTCTTAGCTCTCCCGTTCCATTCGACGGGACCGATGAATCCGGTCGCGCACTCCCCTTTGATCGAGAGGATGTTGATTCAGTGGGCACTGATGCATCGGATGATCGTCGTCTAATCATTGACGCAGATATGCCGTGAGTAAAGGTAGGGCGCGCTCGATGCTTAATTAGCTTGTCCGTATAACGCGCCACCGAGGGCGGCTCGGTTAAAGGGCTAAATTTATCCCCGATGGTCCTTTGAGCCCCTCTGGTTAGGCGCCTATTGCGCTTATGTGCGCGCACGCCACGCACTTCCGCGTTTCAGCCCGCTGATGCATCGCGCTCGACGCGCCGCTCGCTCGTGTCTGGAAGTTCCGCTCTTGCCGCGGAACGGATTATTAACTCGCGCGAATAAATGTGCAAATACATATATACATATATATATGTGTGTGTGTGTGTGTGTATATAGTCGCGCGTAATTGCGAAAAAAGGGAAGAAATTATCATCGAATTTGTACGTATGCGCGCTCGAGGCCGCGCAACGCGCTAACGCGATCCAATAAAAAGGCGGTGTGTGTATATCTCCGAGCTCCCGACGTGGCGCCGAATTGAATTTAGTTTAGAACTCTGTCTCTCTCTCTCTTTCTCTCACGCGCGCTGCTTTTTCGCCGAATTACGCCTGTCGGTAAATTACGCTTCCGAAATTAACTCTCCGGTATCGCTCTTTTCGTTTTAAAGCGGATATTTCGGAAACCGCGACGAAGGGAGGAAGAGCGAGAGCGAGAGAGCGAGCGAGAGAGAGAGAGAGAGAGAGAGAGAGAGAGAGAGAGAGCGGGCGAGTCGGTGGGGCTGCTGTCGCGTTCGCGAAGTCCTTTCGGCGCGACAAAGCCGATAATCCCCGGGCCGGCGATCCGCGACGACGGCAGTTACAGACGTATCCTCAATAACGGCGGGCGGGCGAACAAGAGGGGGGTGTCGGGTCGTTTCTCGCACAAAAGAGTCGCTCGAGTTAGACAGACGGCGAGCTCGCGCATTTGCGGCACTTTGTGCGTCTATCCGATCCGCCGTGACGCCATCGCGTGACGACGACGACGACGACGACGACGACGACGACGACGACGACGACCGGCAGAAGGTATGCCGCGCGTTTAGGCATGTTCGCCGATGAAACGGCTTCCCGGCTCTATCCACCCCTAACTGCGAATTTTCGAGTAAACACGCACACGTGCGTGCGTAACGTGTAATCAAGCCCCGGCCGGCCTGTCCGATCGATCTATTCTCATTCCGCGCGTCGCCCTGGCCCGATCCTCGGTCGGGGCTCACCGGGACTCAGAGGGTGATTAATGAATTTTCCTTTCCTCGACCATCACTCGTAATTTAGCGCGGCCGACGGTAGCTCAAAGTCGGCCGGCAAGGCCAGTCCGGCAAGGCACGTCTTCGCGTTCAGGTGCGAACGCGCCGTAGCGGGATTTTTCCTCGGAAGGGCCGCCGGAAGGACTGCCGCGCGTACTACCATATATGGTCAGTTTGGTGTCGCTATTGTTATCCCGTTTGACCACAGCCACTTAGCCCGAGCACTAAACTCCACGAGCTCAACTTTACCCTTCAACAGGTGTTTAGGGAAATACAATAACGTCGCGCATGCGCGCCGAACTTCTTGAGGTCGCAAAGTTCGCCGGAACAATCTGACCGCGACCATGCCCGCGGGCGATGCCGGTACTTAGGACGAGATTAATTAAGATTACGCGGGACGCCGCGGTTCTCAACCGTACGGGGCACGTCCTTGACGAGGGCGAGTAAATCTTGCGCGCGCGGTTGATGAGGAGCTTCGTTAATGCGGACGGAAAACGGCGGGTCCGCGTTTACTCCCGCTCGGGCGCCGGACACCGTAGTGAGAAATTTCCCGGTCCCTTCGGTATTGTTCCGGCGAAACAAGCGCATTTCCAGTATGTTTTATTTATCACACAGGCAGATATTTATACGTAGTACGTATCTAATAAATCGATAAAATATTCGAGTCTGCAATATATTCTTGCCGATGTTGCAATTATCACAGGTGAGGAGACAAAAACCTTACAAGAAAGTGTTATTTTTATAAATCGATTGGTTAAATAATTGTAAAGTATCGAAATGTATTTTCGCGAAATATTGATTGGCGGACGGTGGGATTAAGTGGAGCAGATCACATTGGCGTTTAATATGTATAATCTTGTTTCTTGCAGTTGATTACGCGTTAAATATGATATCGCGGCTGAAGCTGCGCCAAGTAATATAATTAGGCTTTAACAAAATTACGATACCTACCTTACCGATAATAGGTACCGCTGTTTTTTTTTTGCGGGTATCCAGCGTGCCAGTAATCGATAAAGCAGCCTGTCCGATTTGGATTTGGTCGGTAAGGTATAGTAGGAAACTGCATACCTTTCCCGACTGCAAGAACCGAACTGGAGGACTAGAAGCCGCTTCCTCGGGCAGTAGGTGGCGTTTGAACATAGTAAGAGCTCATCAATTCGTCAAAGAGCTTCTGTCGGGGAAACGAAACAAACATCCGCGAAAATCGATATTGAATTACAAATTTGGAATCCCCCGGTCTGAAGACTTGCATCGTTCTTTCATGCGTCCCGTTTGTTATTAGGACAATGATTAGGATAATTCTTGTAACATACGCGAGTATAGGTATTGTTCATAAGGATATTGCGACAAACACGCTTCTAATCATTTCCCCCGTTTCGTTCTGTCCACAGGCGTTGAACGGTGCCGAGGGTACGGTGCCGCCAGGAAGAGTCTACAAAAAAGTCGCGATCGTGGAGAACTTCTTCGACATCATCCATGCCGTTCACGTCGATCTCGAGGGTCGTCCTGGGAAGCACGCCGGTCAGAAGCGCACCTACAGAACGGTAAAATAGCCATTGATTTCGGCGGATTCATGTTTAGCTCGCGACCTCGCCGGATCCCGCGAGGAAAGCAAACAACGACGCTCGCGCCTACGTCAGTAGGTTTGGAAGTGGAAGTCCGCGACCTCATCGAGCGAAGCTTAAGACGCGAGCGTACGACGTCGCGCGCGACGTGTCGATCTCGCTTGTGCTCGGCGCGCAGACGATGCACCCAGCATCCGGTTGGCTTCAACGTGTGTAAGTCACGCCGGCAGAGCTTCACCGCGAAGTAACCGTCGATCCGCGAACGATCGAATTTCGAATTCGGCCGCTATCGGCGGAGCGCGGTGAATTCTTGCATGGTTGCTCGCGACACGCGATATTTACCGTTCCCGAGGGAAGGCATCGAGGCGTTCAAGCGTCGAACACTCGATACCACACGTCATCTCACATGTTCCGGCGTGCATTCGCGTAAACCTCTCTCCGGGGTATCATATCTGTTCTCTTGCTCTCTCTCTCTCTCTCTCTCTCCCCCCCCCCTTCCTTTCTCTATCTCGCGCTCTCAGTACGTGTTCTCTTTCTATCTTCTATCCTCGGCCCTTGCGACCACCCTCCCACGCTTCGGCCGCTCATTCTCCTCTCTCTCTCTCTCTCTCTCTCTCTCTCTCTCTCTCTCTCTCTCTCTCTCTCTCTCTCTCTTTCTCTCCGTCTCTCTCGTGCGTCTCTCTCGCTCGTTCTCGCTGTCGCTTTCTCTCTCTCTCTCTCTCTCTCTCTCTCTCTCTCCCTCTTTCTCGCACGCCGCGATCTGCTTGTGATTCAAAACCTCAGGACACTTGTTGCATTGCCTGCTTACTCACACACTCGAGCGTTGGCGCGACGGTGGAACTGTTTTACGTTCAAGTCGGCGTTAGGCGGCGGGATTCATCGGCTCCAGAAGAGCCCGTGTTATGTCACCGGCGCGCGCGTTGCGCAATTCGATCCGCTTCTGCCGCCGCATCCAGTCGCGGAGAACGGTGGATTTCGGATTGCCGCTGTTACACCGTAAGGGTTTATACGAGTCGGCCGAAGCGCGTGCGCGGCCAACCGACCGTCACCTTTGACAATTCGGGTTTTTTCGCACGTATGACGACGCGCGCGCGCGCGCGCGCGCTGCACGACGGCGCGTGTGTTGAAAATCGCCGTCTCTACCGTGCGGGGATAACACGCTTAAGGCGCGTAATTTCGTCGAGACTCGCGTGCGGCCGCGATTCTTCTCGCGATGATCATTCACGATCTCACTGCGCACTCATAAATTCGTCGAATTCGCGGAATTGCATTTTTAATAAGGAAGAACGACGGGCAAGAGGCGAGAGAGGAGACGTTGAAGAATCTTCTCTCGCGGAGAGAAGGTCCTTCATCGTTTATCGCGATTTTGACGTTCATCCAACGAGCAGTCAGCGCGCGCGCGCTGTGCGGACGATTCTATCACGGCGTCCATCGGCGGTGGGAAAAAAACATTTTCACCGTCGCCGTCGCCCCTCGGGACGCAATCTACCTCTCGGAATTCCGAGCGGAAACGTCCGCGCGGCGCGTGGCGTGTCGATCCAAAGTACATTATCTCGCTCGCCTACCTGTCGCGCGCCGTTCTTTTCCGTTTCGTTCCGTTCGTCCCACGAGCTCGCCACGAGGTCTCGGCGAAATCTTATCGAATTACTACCCCCACGTGAGAGCGCGTGCCGTGCAGTCATACGCGCGCGCGCGCGCGCGCCACGTACACGTACGAGCCGCGCGCCCGCTCTCCCGCGGAACGAGCCTGCCATCCTTGATTAAGTTATGCCGCCCCTCCACCTTCCCGGAGAGAAACGTTTCCTATTAAGAGGCGGGGAACATCCCTCCGGCTGAACACCTCCTCGCAGAAGACATCAAAGTTCCGTTATACCGCTCATGAATTTTCCCCAGTGGGCGTCGCGCGCGCGTAAAACGGCGCCACGTGACGAGCGATACGTTCGCCGACGACGAGCGAGCAACGGGAACAACGGTCGTTTGCGCGCATTAATGCGCGTCGATCGACAATAGCGCGGTCGCGTTACACACACACACACACACACACACATATATATATATATATACACACATGCGCGCGCGTATACATATATAGTATACACATGTAGTATATAACGTGTATACGTGTGTGTATGTATATATATATATATATATACACAGCGCGCGAACGTGCGCCCGCCTGGGTGCGGCGCCTCCGCCAGATGGAATTAGTTAATTGCCCGCTGACCGGGTCGGTGCTTGAACGTAACGATGTCGCGGCGATGGCGCGACGCGACGCGACCGGCTCGCGAAGTGAGACACGGCGAAACGCGCGCGTCGGATCAATGCGCGCGGCAGCGCGGCCGCCACCGACGTTTCCGTCGCGAGCCCCCGCTGCTGATTAACGGCTTATCAGGGCCGCGAGATTAACGCGCGATGCGCGCCCCCCCCCCCCCCCGCGCGTCCCGAAGTTTTGCGCCCGGTGCGAAGGGTAGCTCGTTTGCGACGTGAGGGAGGACTACCGCCGAAATACCGCGGGAGTCGACGCGTCTCTCGCTCGTTCATTCGACATATTTATCTATGAGAATAAATTCTCTTGATGGATCGTAAATCTATATTTCCCTTCGACTAGCGATTCTAAATTGGAAAGTGAACCCCGTGAATATTGCGTTGAATATCGTAGAAAATCGGGTCAGGCGGGAATCGGTCATTCATCTTCGCGAGAGATTTAGCGGGAGATGTTTTCTTGGTTTTTGTCTGTTAAAAGTCTGTAAGAAAAAAAATATTTAATAGACCAAAGGTCTTTCTTTGGGTTAACGATCAGACGAACGCTTGAAACTCGCGTCAAACTGCAGAGAGCCCGGGTCGTTCTTCAGCGATCTCTCGACGCTTTGACTCGAGGAGCAAGATTCGAGGAATGTCACGAGCAATGCGTTTTTCCGCTTCTCTGTTTCAGATCACAGAGACGTACGCATTCCTACCGCGAGAAGCAGTGACGCGGTTTCTGCTGGGTTGCACGGAGTGCCAGCGACGCCCGCGGACGCCGAGTCCGACGAATCTCTCCAGCCAGCCGCAGTCCACGGCGTCGACGACGACGACAACGTTGACGTCGTCGACGGTGACTTCGTTGAGTCCCAACCCGACGGCTGGTGGCAACACGACTGTCCTGCCGGCGTCGTCGGCCACGTCGGTGCAGAGCAGTTCAAAATTGCGCGACAATAGCCACCACGCCGCGTCGTCGTCGGACGGCAAGAACCTGCACAGCTACAGGCATCAGAAACAACACAAGAACAGCATCGCGATAGAGAAGCTCGACAAGGACAAGGAAGAGAAGTACAACCCGCTGAGCATTAGCAACTTGCTGAAGAAAGAGCCGGTGAACGGTGGCTTTCTGCCGACAGCGGACGCCCTACCGGACTCGAGGAGAACGCCCGAGTCGGACCGGGCGAGCTCGAAGAGCTCGGCTTCGTCCAAGAGGAAGCGAATGTTGCCGGAGGGACGCACGCCCTCGCCGCAGCCGAGCCAGCCGTTGCCGAGGCCCTGGAGTCCCGGCCTGGACACCAAGAATACACCCATTGATTACAGCCGGCCCATCACCACTTCATACCTGAAGCACCAGCAGAGGTTGCTCCAGGCGGAGAAGAACAAGGCCGCAGCGACGGCGACGGCGGCGGCGGCGGCGGCGGCGGCGATGACGAACGCGCTGCTGAACCCCGTCGAGAACGACCCAAGGTTCGCCGCCATCGCGACGCCGCTCGTCGACGAGATGGAGAACGTCGAGCAGGAGAGGTTCTCGCCGGCCACCGGCCTCATCGACACCAACCTCAATCTACTCGCGACCATCCAACACCTGCACTGCCAAGTGATGCTCGCGCTCACCGAGCGCCTGCGACCGTCGATCGCGGTGCCGAGCCCGCTGGTGCTGCCGCCGACGCCGGCGAGCGTCCTCACGGGCGCTGCGATGATGATCGGCACGGAAGTGTCGGTGCAGACGGGCGAGAACCACTCGTGAGGCGATTGGCGCGAGCAAGACAGCGAGTCGTGACTCGGTGTGCTTCAGTGACTCTCTGTCGAGAGAGAGAGAGAGAGAGAGAGAGAGAGAGAGAGAGAGAGAGAGAGAGAGAGAGGGGATTAGAGAGGCAAGGAAGGAGAGAAAGAGAAGGAGAGATCTGCGAGATATACGGCGGCAATCGCCGAGACTACGATTGTGATCAAGGTGATGAATCGCATTTCACATCGCGACCGGTCAACCACTTCGCGTCGATAGTACCGTCGATAGTAACGATAATAACAATGCTATAATAATAATAATAAAGTAATAATAATACAGGGCTGTCTGAGTAGCGCATGGCCCACCCGATCGAAACTCATTCCTGACGGGTCTGACCGACGCGACGCGGAGATCGGCAAAGCGCGCGGCGGAAAGATCACGCATGCGCTGCGCGAGTAGATCGAAAGTCCGGCGCTCTCGCCGGGCTAAGGAGCGCGAAAATGAAAAGACGGAAGAGGTAGAGAGGTCTCCCTTCGCCCATCCCCTCGTTCGCTTGCGATTCGACGTGCGGTCGCCGCCGCGGGCGCGCGAGTCGGGGCTGATCGCGGCGCGCGCTTGTTAGAGTTCCACGGTTAATTCGCTCTTAAATATCTGCCCGACTGACGGCGGGCACGCGGCTCACGGCCCGCGGGCTCATCTTGCCGAGGCGAGAGAGACGGACAGAGAGACGCAATTACATATCGAACCGGACGGGATCGATTATTGTCGTCGTGCTCGTGTCACACATTTCATTCGAGCGGCTCGCTTGCCGCTTGCTTGCGTCCGACGTCGGCCGCCGGCGCCCGATATAGACGGGCCAAGCGGGCGGAATAATTCCCGAGTCTGTCGAAATACGGGTCGATGTGTCAGGGATTCGCGCGGCGCTTCCTGTGTCCGATATTTAGGGATCCGTTGCGAGCGGATCACGCGCGATCCGACCGGCGAACTCGGTCGATCGATTCACTTCTCTGTCTGTATGTGTGTGTGTGTGTGTGTGTATGTGTGAGAGAGAAAGCGAGCATGTATGTGTGCGTGTGCAGTGTGTGCGCACCGGGGGGAGGGTGAAGGGGAGGGAGGGAGGGAGGGCCAAAGCGACAGCCCGCGCGGCGACACCGCGAAGGTCTTGAATATTCAATGAGCCGGTTAGAAAGGGACGCCATGAACGAGATAGAATGAGATGGTAGAGGAAGAGAATGGATGGATGGGGAAGGGAGGGACAAAGTGGACGAGAGAAAGAGAGGACCGCGAGAGGCGTTCTCTCGTTTCCGAGTGTCGTCCGGCAGACTCGAGGACGGATCCGGCGACGACGTCCGTCGCGACGGGAGTTGTCTTTCGTGCTTTGAGGTGTATTCAGAGACGCGCGGTGATTCGTTCCGTTAATTATGCGTCCCGCGGTAGGATGGGGGAAGGGGGGGGCTTGCTCGCACAGGTGGGTCTCAAGTCGAGCGCTTTCGTTCTCGGCGGAAGCGTCCAGCCGCTGATCGGCTTTGGGCGGCGAGGAGGAAATTCCGCAGGCGCGGATCAGCGAATGCGTACATTCGATCGCTCGTTCGAGTTCGAACAGATACGGTTTCGGGCGGAAGGAAGGGGGAGGAGGATGACCGCGTTTGCGGGCATTCGGGATGCATCGTGTGGATGCGAATGGAAAATGAAAATTCTACGCGGGTAAGCGCGCGTTCTTTCGTGTTTTTCGTTGGCGCGCAATCTCGGATCAACGCGCGAGATTATTGGCTAACGTCTCATCGACGGGAAAAGGGACGGTGAATTCAGCCGGCGTCTCGACCTACCTTGCAATGGTAACAATGTTATTGCGTGTAATTGCACGCAACGGGGGATATCGGAGTCGAGCGAGGACGCGCACGCGCGCCCTCGCGTCTCGTCTCGTCTCGTTGCGTATCGCGAAACTGGTCGATCCGCCGCTACATTCGCGCGCCCAGCTTCCCTCGTTACATTGTATTAACTATCGTATTATTGGCGCGATCGATGCCGCGACTTTTTGGCGATATCGCGGCGCGGCCGCGTAATTGAGCACGTTATTTCCGATGGGTGAACTCTGGAGTAACGACTATCGCGTACTGTTAATTTAGGCTACATTAGACAAAATTATTCTCCTCATTATACGTAGTTTATAATTCTATTCTTATTTACTCCGTGTAAGGGGATAAATTCTTCGCGACTCTTCTTTTCTCGGTACGAGTCGAAATCGAGCCATTTCCTTTCGGACTCGAAATTTTATGTTTTCCCAAACATGCGTGATGCGTGATTAAGTTCTTCTAAAGTTAGGTGGCTCGTGCGGGCTTTTGTCGGAAACGGGACGAACAAGATCCAATTGGTGGAACGCGGTGATCCGACGAAAGTCACAACATGTTGACGTGCCTGTCCGATTACTTGCAAATATTAATCGCGCTGGCGATTCTCCGATGGGTTCGCGAAATAACTTGTTCAGTTGAGCGTTCGTCGGACTCGATACCGGCTGTATACCAAAGGCAGTGTCACTTCTCGAGCTCTTGAGCCGCAGGAGAGCAGACTGCGTATTCGCAGAGCTACGGAGTGATCGTTGTAACGCGAATCGACCGTGATCTCGAGTCGATCGTTTCGGCACTCGTCGGGGTCCGCGACAACGGTCCTCGCGCTGCGAAATCCATTTCGTATCTGATTGTGTACGTAGCCTAGCCTCGTGTACGATATTACTCAAAGTAGCTCGTTCTTCGTGTACGATATAGCGTCTTCTAGACACGACGGAGAGAGAGAGAGAGAGAGAGAGAGAGAGGGACAGAGAGAGAGAGAGAGAGAGAGAGAGAGAGAAAGAGAGAGAGAGAGAGAGAGAGAGAGAGAGAGAGATGGTAAAGGCGAGAATCGAAGGGAGGAACCCGCCGATGACGCGCGATAGGCCTTAAGGTGTGCTTGCACAAAAAGAAAATGTTTTTACTAGAAGTTCGATAATCGTCGTGAAAGTAGAGACGAAAGTTGAGAAACCCTCGAGAGCGCGTCTCGATATTATTTTGTACATAATCGTTGTATCATAGTGCGTACGTACGAGCTATACCGGATAGAACGCATGATTAACATTATCATCGACGGTGACCGTTATTTTATCATCATTGCGTATTATTATCATTGCGTTTACGTTATTATTATTATTATTATTATTATTATTATTATTATTAAGTAGGCGATTATTTTTATCTCATCGCCTTATTGATATTATTATTACTATTACTATTATTATTAATTATTATTATTGTATTAATATTGTATTTAAAAATCACGCACGAGTCAAATGTGGGACAAATATAAAATTGAAATACTCGAGAACCCCGTGTATGTGTATGTACAATCCACACACGTCCCGAAAAATTGTTTGCTCTCTTCCTGCTCCCCCTTTCTGAGGTATTTCAATTTTTGATCCCCATCTTTTCTTACCTGCCGCTGTATATGCGCTCTCTCCTAATTACAATCATGTGTCATTCAAGTGCAGATCGAGTGCGGCGCTTTGGCGAGAGACGAGACTGCAAGAATGCCCGGCGATTACTTGCCGCTAACGGTTCAGCCTGTAAACCCAATCCGTCGTCCTGCACCGAGTCCTGCACCGAGTCTACCTACCTAACACAGGAAAGAAATTGGCAGGTATCCAAATCCACTTCCTTTTGTCCCATCTATCCGATTATTATTAACGTTTAATGTACGCGTTAAATTCGCACGAACGGCGCTCAAAGTGTTCCCTCCTCTCTCTTCCACTTTCTCACGCGGGAGAGGGAAAAAGAAAGAGAGAGAGAGAGAGAGAGAGAGAGAGAGAGAGAGAGAGAAAGAGAGACTCCGATCGAATCGATCGATCGCAAGGCGAAAGGGTGACATCGAGATGAAACGGTCGATCCTCCGCTCCATACACGAACAACGAACGCAATTGACACCTCGGTTTCACTCCTCGCACCCCCCTCCCCTCCGCCCCCCTCGCCGCCGTCGCCCCCACGTAGATAGAAGCAGTCGCTTCGACGTCTGACGTACTTTAATATCGCGAACAAAGAGGATGAAATGATCGTGTTGCCTTTAACAAAGGAGAGAGAGAGGAGGCAGCGCCGCCGACTCACCTGCACTCTCGCCGAGCAAGGATCGTTTCTCGGAGAGCAGGTACCATAGGTAATGCAGTCTTTACTCATCCGGCTGTTGCCAGCGTTGTAGCGACCTCGTTCCATCAACTTCTACGTTCCCCCTAGCTAGCTATCTCCTTCGTTTCCTCTTTCCCTCCACTCTGACCGCCCCCCCCCCTCTCTCTCTCTCTCTCTCTCTCTCTCTCTCTCTCTCTCTCACCCCTCTGTCTCTTTCTCTTGCTCCTTCTCTTGCTATCCCTCTCTCTCTTTCCCTCTCCCTTCCTCTCCCCCCCTCTCTCTCTCTCTCTTCCTCTCGCCCTCAGCCCTCAGGAAAACTCAACCCCCTACCCCCGGTACCAATAAGGCTGCCGCCTCCTCCTCGTTTCCACCTCCTGGTCTAGCTGGTGCTCTCCCTCTCTGCTCTTCACCCCTTCGCGCCCCCAGCCCTCTTCCCTCACATGCCCGCCCCGACTCTTTCTCTCCCCCTTTCGCTCCCTCAAGCAACCTTCCGGCGTACCCTAAAGCCTCACTTCCATCGGAGAGCCAAGCCTCTCGCGCGCTCTCTCGCCACGGCATTGTTGCTATCGATTCGGACTTGGAAACGTGTTTTTCTTCGGATATTTCGTGGCTACCGCCGGTTACGACCACCGCCGCCGTCGCGGCCACCGCCGTTCGACCGGATAACGAGGATTCTAGGAAGGCGGTGTGTGCCCGTCCCCCTTTTCCCGTCTCTTTCGTTAGCTCTTTCTACGTTTCCGCGTTACCACCTCCGACCCATTATATTCGCCGCGCTTAAATGCGCCCCTCGCCCGCGATAAATATTTGGTTTTATGCGCGAATCTCGCACGCTCGCCCACCCTTGCCTTCCCATCTGCGCTTTTTTCACTTCTAAAATCCCCCCCCCCCCTCCGGGTCCCACCTTTCTCGCATTTTTGCGCGTCCCGCGACACCCGGCTGGGGAAATAACCTCGCAATAAATGGACGCGCCGAAAAACCGGTGTCGATCGAGAAGCGGCGCGCGTGCAGTAAAATCGGCAGGTTACATTGTTACGAATAGTTTGAACCGGGCTGTATTTCCCGGCTGCACACACCGCGTTGCAAGCGGCAAATATCGATCGTCGCGGGCACGACGGGCTGTGCAACCGGCGAATCGCGCGCCGCTCATTCGCCGGGTTGAAGAATTTTTCCGATTTTCACG